TAGGGAAATATAACCCACCTCCCCACCCCCACCCCAGGAATGAAATGCCACAGTGAGCAATAAGGAACATGTTTCCCCAGTTTACTTGGGAACTCTTACTTATGTACCAAATATATGAAATGAAGAGAACAAGTGTTGTATGATGGCTAGAGTGCTGTCTTAGAGAAGGAAGACTCAGGTTCAAATACCTGCTCAGCTATGAAGATCACTGGATAACCTTCAGTCAGTCACCATCTGACTGAAGAAGTCTGCTCTTCTAATCTAAACTTGAGTGTATAAAAGGGAAGAATGGGGTTAAGTTCCCCAGTTCAATCCCAGTGTCTCCAAGCAAGATTTCCTCTCTGAAAACCTGGAGAACTGTTCCTGGTCACTATAGACCAGGGGTGGGAAAACTATGACCATCCAAGATGTTGCTGGACCTCAACTCCTTTTTAAATTTTCTGCTAGAATTGGATGTGATTTGCAGACATGGTCTCCCCCTCCAAGGGGATGAAGCTTTCTGAATTTCAGAATACTAGCTGCAGTGGTTGTCAGTGTTTGTAAAAAGCAAAAAAGGGGTTCTGAACAGTGGCGTAGCGTGGGTTGTCAGCACCCGGGGCAAGGCAAGTAATTTGCGCCCCCTAACCTGTGGATTAGCGCCCCCAAACCTGGGGATTTGCCCTAACCCCAGATGTTGCGCCCGGTGCGGCCGGCCCCCCCTGCACCCCCCACGCTACGCCACTGGTTCTGACCTCCCTTTGTCACCTCAGCCTGGTCCTTGGACCCTTGTCATCATAAAAGAGTCCACGACAAAAGTATCCTTGCAGAGTACTTTCTGCTTTTATTCTTAAAAGTCTTTCTGCAAAAGCAACTGACCAACTGCACACACATCAACACTACCAGCTTCCACTAACCAACCAACCAACCCAACTCAACACCAAACTAACATTTCTCACTCTATATATACAACCTGGTGCAGGCCGCTGACTCATGCTGACCCAGCTTTTTTAAGCATTAAAGAAACAGCGGCCATTTTAGCCATGACAGTGGTTCTCTGACTTCACCATTTTTGGGTGGGTAAAATATAAATCATGGAGAGAGCATGGGTCTGCAGGAAGACTGGTGTGGAGAAAATGTAAAAAACAAAACAAAACACCCAGCAAGAACTCTTTTTGCCCAAGGGTCGCTGGTGTGAGGTGGACTTATGCCCTGAGGTATTTGGGGAAATATAATGAAGATTTCACAGGGGAAAGCATAGATTCACATGAAAAGCAAACACTGTTTTTAACCTCCACCAAATCCCTGTGACTGGAATGCCCTGGAGAAATAATTCAATGTGATTAAAAACTAGATCTGTCTGTCAAAATGAATTATCTTCCCCACCTCTCTATCCCCTGCCTTATAAAGCTCTGGTCATTTCCCAAGTCAGCTTGGTTGTGTTTTTCAAGAAAAAGGGGAAGAAATGGTTGTGAAATTTTTGGACAGTCGAGGCTACAGAGTGACTGCTCAGAGTCCCTGATCTGCCTTGAGATGCCTTGTTAATTGTGAAGTCCGACTTGGAAACATGAGAAACTTCCCTGCTTCCCCTTGATTTGCATAATTTGGGGTGCTCATGTAAGTCGGTGCACATTCCTAGCTGCTACATCTTCTCTCCCTCTGGGCTCACCTCCTTCCAATCAGCATCTTGCGCAGAAACACACTGTGTGGTCTGGTCTGTGGGAGAATAATTGGGAAATGTTGCTTTGGATGGCAAAATAGTGTCAGTCAGGTTTTTCCTTCCCTTGGTGATCCAAAATATGCTATGTATTACAAAGTAATTTAGATACAGTCATGTGTATTGTCTGAGGTTTTCTGCTGGTTTAGTGCTCTGAGATACATTCCCAGAAGATGGGAATTTAATGGGTGTCTAGACAAAGGGAGCCTCTATTGTACTCATATTTAATTATTTATTTTACTTGTTGCATGAGCTGACAATGCCCACATCAAAATTATATTAAAAGGGTAAAAAGATTATAAGTATTTTGACTAAAAAAAGGAGAAATTATATTAAAAGTCCCCTTCTGAAGCAGCTTTTGAATGGGAATAAAAAGATGCTCTAATTTTAACTGGCCAATAGAATCACTTTCTTTTTGTAACACTGCACTTCCAATTCTGAGCTACAAAATACTAAGGAAATTAGAGTCTTAAAAGCAATCTGATAGTGAATAATATCCACCCTATAACAATTTTGCAAACATTGGCAGCTTCCAGTGTTTAACAGAAGCCACCTTAGAAGAAGTGAGATACTGTAAATGTGAAATGGTAATGCAACTTCAGACAGTACTTCACAATCAAACAACAATTAAAAATTGTTAAATTCCCCTGTTAAAGCAGGGAAGTAACTTTGATAACAAAGGCTTAAAACTAGATATGAATGGGGCAGCCATATGTATTAATGGGTGTGCCTTCACATTTTGGGGGGGGGAGTAAAAAAGTGAATGGGTGAGGGTAGCTAACCCCCCCCACAACACACCCCAGACACTTATACTTCACTAGGTGGTATTCAGCCAACTGTTACTCAGAGCAGACCCATTGAAATCAATGTACTTGACTAAGTTGGGTCCATTAATTTCAGTAGGGACACACTAAGTAAAACTTAGTTGACTACCACCCACTGTGTTCTATGACTTCAAACATTTGTTTCCTCCAATCCAGGCTTGCTTCTGGTATCACAACACTTCACACATTCCCATTCCCCCGTTTTATATGTGAAAGGGGCAGATACATACATAAATCCATGTATCTGCCCTGTTACATCTCATTTCACTCTTACCTATCAAAACATATCCTCCAGCATGTTTAGGCCAAAAACAGGGACACACATCTTCCCAGCCATGTTCCCAAATGAGTCACAGGACCCACATGAGATCACAGAGCCCAGAAAAGTGCACTTTGGGACTCTGCAATCTTGTGCATTTGCAGGCCTCTGTGATCTTGCAAAAACAGACTGAGACAGTTGAGAGGTATGTCAAACTTATTTACCTAGTTTAAACATTTTAAATTATCCTTTGATGGTAGTGGCTTTCCAAGTTGAGTGTTATTGTTTTCAGATTCATCTTACTACTACTAAGATGATGTCTGCTAAATTCTGGAAGCTACTATAGTTTGCAAAGCTGTTACAGGCTAAATATGGCCATGAAGCTGGGTGGTCTTAGGCCAGTTACTGCCTCTCAGCCTAACCATCCTCACAGACTTGTTGTAGAGATTAAGTGTGGAGGAAGAGAACCATGTACACCACCTTAAGCTCCTTGGAGAAAAAAGTGGGATAGAATGCAATAAATAAATAAATATTATCCCTCAGTCATTGGTGCTAACTTGAGCATTACTTAATGTAGATTCTCTCCCCCAAATTAAAACTTCGATTTTCTGCTGTAATTAGGATGCAGTCCCATACCCATTTACTATCCAAATATAAACAAGCTCCTAAAATTTGAGTTTCTTTGTACAGGTTTCATTCCAACAGCATTGTTTACATAAAGTCACAAAGCCATCATCATTTACTCAAGGTACGTACAGATCTCAAACTGACAAAGCAAAGCAAACCATGAGTTTTCACGTTGGTTTAAAATCACCAACCACTGTCACACAAGCAGGATATGTGAAGTGGTGAAACTTTCATTATTATATTACAAGGGGTAAAGGTAAAGGGACCCCTCACCATTAGGTCTAGTCGTGACCGACTCTGGGGTTGCGGCGCTCATCTCGCTTTATTGGCTGAGGGAGCCGGCATACAGCTTCTGGGCCATGCATACAGCCGGCATACAGCTTCTGAGCCGGCATACAGCTTCTGTGGCCATGTGGTGAACCAGAGCAGCGCACAGAAACGCTGTTTACCTTCCCGCCAGAGCGGTACCTATTTATCTACTTGCACTTTGACGTGCTTTCGAACTGCTAGGTTGGCAGGAGCATTACAAGAGGAAGGAGCTCCATATACAGTGGTGCCTCGCAAGACGAAATTAATTCGTTCCGCGAGTTTTGTCGTCTTGCGATTTTTTTCGTCTTGCGAAGCACGGTGTCGGGAAAGTTTTTGGAAAAGCTTCAAAAATCACCAAAGTCTTTAAAAACCTCAAAAAAGGCTACCACACCGCGTTCTATGAGTTGCTCCTTGAAGTCAACACCCCCTCAGTGTTAAATGCTATGCTGGGTTGTTAACTGAAAATATGGCCTATTAAGGGAAAGTGAGCCAGGTGCCTACAACAGCCACCGTTGCCCCTCAATGACGCAAGTAACACAAATCATCTGGTTAATGACGTATGTGTGTGTGTGTGTGTGATACTGATGTGATTGAGAAACATGCCCACACATTCATGGCAGTTCACTGAACTTGACCATGGGGGGGGGGACTTTTTGTTCTCTCTCTTATTAAATACAACTTCTCTCAAAGCCTACTACCTGAAATCACACATTCCCTAAACACAACCATTACCTGAAGAAGGCTTTTCTGAAACATGACCCAGTCATGTTATACAATATTAACTGTACAATTGTAGAAATTGTTGTATTGTTTTTAGTTTATTGAGTCTGTGTCTTATGTATTTCACCTTATCATAGATCACTTGGGTTGCTTGTGGATGTGAAGTGTTTTATAAATCTTCAAAATAAAATAGCCTTTATAGTTCACTTTGTAGTGAGGCCTGCTATATATTTCTTGCCTGAGAAATCTACAAAGTCCCCCCTTGATTCTCTTTACTTTGTTCAGGTGTTGGATCTTCTACTTTTGTTTTCTAATTCTTATGAATGATTCGTGTACAGTATCCCCACCCATATTGTGGTGCTTTCTTTTTCAAAAATATTAATCTGCTTAATTTATCTCAAATTTGATTACAGTGAGCACCCCTAATTAACCTGATTTTTTGGTGATAATCACTCACAATGGAATCAAATCAAAAATCCGGGGATGGATTGGCCGGCACACAGAAAGAAGCTACCCTCCGCACATTAATGCAGCGCACGGGATATAGTTTGATTCAGGTAGGAGTTTCCCTGTCAAATTATTTCTCCTTTTGGACTGCTAATTTAAAGGTAAATTAAGGACCCCAGCTAAAGTTCGATCAATGACTTTCAGAACTTAGTGCTTAAATCTGTCTCTCCCTTCCCACCCACAATGTGTATTGCAAAAATATTAACATTATTCTGTTATAAGGTACAGTGCTGCATGCAATGGGACATTTGACTCCTACCTATGGTGCGCCTGGTGGTATTCCAGATACAGAATGCAAAAAAACAACAACCATGTGATCTGGCTTATACAGCAGCCATGCAACCTCCTTCAGGAGGGTGTGGTCTTCCAGAGGGTTCACATTCCCACAACTGGAATGAAAAAGGAAGGAAGCAGCGTTCGCATGGTGAGGGCAGCATTTGCATGCACTGACAGCTTCACATGATAGCTCTACAGTCAAGCACTACAGTGTAAGCAATTTAATTGGCAAAACAAAAGTCCACTGCAACCATACAAATCCTACTATCTGTATATTCTACCCTCTCAAGTCTGTCCTGGTCCCACAATCTCAAGTGGGCTATGGGACAGTGTTGCTTTTTGGGGGGCACCAAATATATTGACTTGGCTGAAGTCTTGAACTGGGTCCCCTCCAACTGTTTTGGACTAAAGCTCCCAATTTTTCTAAGATACATCTAATGAAAGTCAAGATGCAAGAACAGACAAAAGTTATGACCAGGCAAAGAAAACCTTCTGGTGTGTATAAAAAGATATGCAGTGTTGAGAAGAATTAAGCCAGTTTTCACAACATCTTTTGTTCTCTTCAATTCAGGAAAATGGCCAAAGGAAATATGGAGGGCCGCCACCAGGCTGGGATGGACCACCACCAGAAAGAGGCTGTGAGATTTTCATTGGAAAATTACCCCGTGACCTCTTTGAAGATGAACTCATCCCGTTATGTGAAAAAGTAATGATTTAAACCAGGGCAGATTTTATTCACTTACACACACACATATTCATATTCTAGGAATTTGACTGCAAACAGCAGTAATCCTGAACCTCTCAGCAGAATCAGGGTGGTAAAATAGAAAAGACTCGTGCAGCTCTTCACACATAATAGGACAGGCATGTTTCCTACTCTGAGAATGTCTCCAGTAGGAAGAACACTGCCATATGGGAAACTGCCAGTGTGCCACAGTGGCTCAAGCATTAGCCTTCTGTGTCTAAAGCCCAGGGTCAAATCTCTGGTTGACCATAGCGATAACTAGGTGGTCTCACATAAGTCCTACCTTTCAACCTAATAGTTGTTGAGTGATTCTTGTAAGGCCAAGATATTGCTTTGAGCTTCTTAGACTGCAGGTTTCCCACGGTCATCTAGTTGGAACAAAATGGGGGACTAGATGGGCCTTTGACCTCATCCACCAGGGCCTTTCTTATATTCTTATGATGCAATTCTGAACAAAACACAGTTCTAATAATTTGCATATGACCCTGTGTGGTTTTAAGTACTTACTGGAGGTCGCTAATTTGCAAATACAATTCTCAAGTCAGCTTCCAGCTTCCAGGGTGCAAGCCACAGAAAGCTAAGTATATAGTATCAGGAGGACTTTGTGTGTGCAATGCCTAAGAATGATTTTGCAAGTGATACTAAGAATACTTTTTAGCCTTGTCTATGCCACTTGTAAGTGTTGTTAGTGAGATATATAAAATGGAAAGAGAATTTTTTAACTGAACGTAATTATGGAGCATATGGTGCTATTTTCATTTCCAGTTACGGGAATTTTGAAATGCTAATTCAGATCCAGATACCCCTTCACCAAAGTAGCTGGAACCAACCACAAATACTTACAATAGTTTCCACTGCTTTATATAAATGTTTTGAGCATATTTTATATGTCTGGTAACTTGCATCTGATGAGGTTGACACTTGATTCCTCTCGTCTCCTGAGACATTAAATGTGTTATGTCTTTAAAGGTGCCACAGGATTCATTGCTGTTTTTTCTTGCAGCAGACAAACTTCTGTAACTTTTGGATTATGTATTCTCAAAGCCCATTTATAAAATACCTAAACAAGTCAATTGCTTTCTATGCTGAGATACCACGTTAACCAATGCACGTTCATTTGGAAACATCAATTCATATTAAGATTCACAATGTAAACCCATAGGTTAAAATGGGGGGCGCCAGAGCAGTTGGGATGATCCATGCTCAAGGCTGCCAAGCAAGCAACAGCCACCATATCACTTCATCACTTACTCCACCTGTATCCCAGTATCTTGGTTGAAATGTAAGTGCAGAATCAGGAGAAGCAAGGAAAAGTTGGTATCTTGAATTAGGTTGTAGTGTTTGTAATACTGATATTGACAATACTAGTGACACCCATACAGTGCAATGGACAGAGTTTGGGCCTGGAAAGACCAGGATTTGAATTCCTGCTCAGATATGAAACTCAGTGAGTAATCAGGTGGCCAGGTGGCCTGCACTTTTGATATTCATACAGAAGATGGAATTTCAGCAAGTGAAATTTCCCTCTTCCACACAACTCTTAAATGTGCAGCAGCACAGACTTCTTTTGCACCTGCCCCCCTTGCCAGATGTACTTCACAAGTTTTTGTGGTGATATCACGGGAATACACCATATACTCTCTTGAACTCCTTGGAAGAAGGACAAGAAGCAAACATGATAAAATAAACAATACAAATCTTCCTCCAATAGGATCATTCCTGCATTTTGGGATCTATGTCCCATTTTTTATATTCAGCACCATAATAATCACTTTCTTGCAGCTTAGTTCTGAGTGATAAAACCTCTGAATGTGGCAGAGTGAGCTCTTTAGACATGAATTATTATAACTGTGTCCTGAGAGAACATTCTTACAGCCTTTATTCACATCATTGCTCCCATTAACATCAGTATAACTATCTGTGACAGTACTGCCTAGAGAAGCAAGCCTTGGCAACAGGGTCAAAGGCTTCTGCGATGAGACAAAGTATGGGGGGCAGATAATGAGTGGATGGTGTAAATATGACAAGTCCTCAACCACAACCCATTTCCTACTTAGCCCAAAAAAAAGTATGGCCAATGCTCATGACAGTGCTGTTAAAGATGTGGAAAAAGAAAACTGCATTGCGTGAGTATCTAGCTAAATCTTCATGTGCAATGGAGCATTGTCTTTTCTGCTGTTATCAGAGCTTTGGTTTTTGCTGTCTTTGGAACTGGAATTGTTCATCAAAATTTTGAAGTGTGGTTGCAATGCCCGTGAAGACTACTAAGGGCATCATTAGCACAGACACAGTCCTGCGTCTTATGCCAGCACCTTCTTGTTTTGGTGCCTTGTAGTGCTTCTTAGTGAGTGCACAAACCATGCTTCCCCTCTCATGAGACACACCACCAATATGCAGGGACAATTGGCTAGTGGTACAGTATCTATACCCAGGCTTTAAATAAGGGCTGGAAGGGATTCAGTCATGATAACCCTTTGGGTGAAGGCAAGACCTGGCAAATCCAAACAGTAGCTAAGTACTCTAGGGTGTGCTATTGTCTAATGTGTGAGAGCTGCTCTAAGCCAGAGCACCCTGCAAGACATAGATACACACATGTGTGTCCCCCATCCCAAGTTTATGGTGTTATCTGCACAAAGGAGCTCAGACAGGGTGTTATCAAGGTGTGTTAATTGAGGTCATTTGCTTTGCTAACCTGCCCAACAGCACCAGCTCAGCACAGCCTGGACTTCGATACATGCTGCCTCTGTTTATTTTGACTTTGTACATGGGTCAGAAAGCAAATCTTGAGTAAAATGTGCTCTGGTTTATGGTCAAGTCAATGGCCAAGCTAATCTAGAGTGAAGCAGAAATACAAACAGAATCACAAGAACAAGAGAACTTTGTCCAGAGATGTTCTCTAGTGCAGACAAAAGCTCCCTTTCTGTGCTTGTTTATGGAAGTTCATGCTTTTGCTTTTGCAGATTGGAAAAATCTATGAAATGCGGATGATGATGGACTTCAATGGAAACAACAGGGGATATGCTTTTGTGACATTTTCTAACAAACAGGAGGCCAAAAATGCAATCAGGCAACTGAATAATTATGAAATTAGGTAAGCATTGTTTGTTTAGTAGTTTTGCATATCTCGCTGACACCTGCAAAGCAGGTCTCAATTGGAATATAATGCAACAAATGCAATAAAAGTTGTGCTCTTTAAAACAAAAACAAAAAAGGGAAAACTAAAGAAATTGCCTTAGATCAAGTTAGACTATTGGCCTACTTAGCTTAGTATTGTCTACAGTGATTAACACCAGGAGTAGGTGCTCCTTGCCTAAAACCATGTGCAGCAGAACAAAGGGTCATGTTAGTAATCAGCAGCTGAAAAGCCTGTGGGCCATGTCTGTATGCCTAAGACTCCACAGCTGCCAACTAGAAGCAAGAAGGTTATGGAAGGAAAGTGGCCTTTGTGGCAAAAGAGGGTTCAAGAAGGCCAGTTTGGGTGCAAGAGGAGTTGATCCCCCACTGACAAAGTGATACTTTGAGAAGCATAGCTGGTGTCTAGAGATGACTACTATTACTACCACTACAACAAGAAATTATTAATATTCTTGTCACAGAATAAATACACATCTGTTGATTATGTGTTAACTAGTGCTTGTTGCATGTGAAACCTCATCTTGTTATTATCATTATATTTGGTGAGAACTACTTGCATGAGCAAATTCTCTAGCCCAGGGATAGCCAGTGTGATATTCACCTGATGCTTTACTGCTCTCATCAGTCCCAACCGGCATAGCCAATGGTCAGGGATGAGGGGACCTATAGCAGAGCAAAATCTAGAGAGAACCACCCTGACTATTCCTGCTCTAGGCTACTCTTAACATTTCTCCTCTAAAAAAAAACACCTCTGAATTTTATTGCTAAGTAATGAAAACTGGGTATTCTGCAGCCCTTTATAGCAGGCACAAGCAAACTCAGCCCTCCAGATGTTTTGGGACTACAACTCCCATCACCCCTGACCACTGGTCCTGTTAGCTAGGGGTGATGGGAGTTGTAGTTCCAAAACATCTGGAGGGCCGAGTTTGCCTATGCCTGCTTTATATTTTTAAGGGCTGGTTCACTTGACTTCTGCTTGACTAACTACACCGTTCAGAAAGTTTGACATGAGAGCATTGGCTCTAAACTGTAATCATGGGTCAAGATTTCACAAAGAGCTAAGCCTGTTTCACCATAAAAACAAACAAACCTGGAACTGTTGTTTGTATGCAGGAATGGTCGGCTCCTAGGGGTTTGTGCCAGTGTAGACAACTGCCGTTTATTTGTAGGAGGAATCCCGAAAACGAAGAGGAGGGAAGAAATTTTGGCAGAGATGAGGAAAGTTACAGATGGTGTCATTGATGTCATTGTATATCCCAGCGCTGCCGATAAAGCCAAGAATCGTGGTTTCGCTTTTGTGGAATATGGAAGCCATCGGGCAGCAGCTATGGCAAGGCGGAAACTGCTGCCAGGTAATGTGGAAAGAAAGGGGATTTTAGCATGTCTTACACTCTTCCCTTTTCTCCATTCCTTATGCCTATTGGCTTTTAGCTATTGTTTTTGCCTCTTTTATATATAATTTGAACATGAATAGTGGAAAAATTCCCCTAGGATTCAGTACATTATATGCTAGCATTTTAGGGTAAGCGTTAGCACAGTTCTGATTATTTCACAAAGTGAAGCTTTGCTCACAGTGCACGCCTGAGCAATGAAGAAATCAAATAGTAACTATGAGAGCCTGTGTGTTCTCATCTATGTGCAATCAATAGCACATTTTACAATTGTGTAAATTCATTTTAGCAATAAATTTAAGTAGAGAAAACCTGTATTGTCAAAATCACCTACTTAATGGGTTGTATCTAAGTTACACTCAGACTAGACACATTGAAACCAATGTACTTGATTTCAATGAACTGTTCTTGAGTAGGACTTAATTGGACTTCTTCATCCCATTATCTTTCATTTTATTTATTGTCATAGTTGTGGAATTCTGATTACTCCACAGGAAGGATACAATTATGGGGACACCCCATAGCTGTAGACTGGGCAGAGCCAGAGGTTGAGGTTGATGAAGATACAATGTCATCAGTCAAAATCCTCTATGTGCGAAATCTTATGTTATCAACCACGGAAGAGACAATTGAAAAAGAATTCAACAATATTAAACCAGGTAAATAAAATTAAAAAGGCAGCTTGGTCAGAGCTGCTCAGAGTTTGTTGGTAAACTAATGCAAGAACAATAAACTGTTTTTAAAAAGTACTAAAAGGAAATATTTTTTATGTGGGAATATCAGGAAAGAAACAAAGCATTTTCCATGAAAAATCTAGGATTGAAAAAAGAATTTACACGCTACTATGTGAATATATCTTCTCCACTTTCCTCTTGTGGATCCAGAGCTAAACACTAGATTACATATGCTATATAATATACTAATATAATTTAGGAAATATATATATAGGAAATGTTTTATTATAATATATATTTAGGAAATATAATAAAATAAAAGAAATTTATTTCATTCAGGATGATGAATTGACTAGAAAACCCCCAGAATGGATATTTTTAATTGGAGAAATTGGCAATCCTCTGCAAATTTGAAAGGAAAACAGATATGCTTTCTCCTACTCGTATGAAGTTTGACTACTGACTGCTTTAAATCGTATGAAATCTAAGATGTTACTAAGTGCTCAGGTTTCAAAACAAGCACGGAATGTTCTGAAGAGCAATATTTCACTTTTATAGAATTCAGCATTGCATTCCCTTTCAAGAACTCAGCAAGCTCATTCTTCAAGACTTACACCCCAAAGATTTCCTGCCCACCCTTCCAGCACATAGAAGATGGCATGAGCAAGGCAATGTCATTCATTGCAATGTCAGGGGGCGGTGGTGTAGTGGTTGGAGAGCAAGACTAAAATTAGAGGGGACTCAATTCAAATCTCTACCCAACCATGAAGCTCACCTTGCACTAGTCACCATCTCTCAGCCAAACCTGAGGATAAAACTGGAGGGGATAAAACACACACCATGCATGCCACTTTGAAATCCTTAGGAGAAATATTTGATGAAATGATATAATGATCGAATTGTCAGACCAGGACTTGGGACTGGCACACCGCATAACCAGCATGCAGATTATTTTTGTGTTCTGACCTGCGCAAGTAACCAAGTTATGGCATTGTTGGTGGCTCCTCCACTCTGTTAAAGTAGACTGCCGGCTGCCAGAAGTTAGGATTGTTCCATAAACCAACTAACACTCAGATTTGTTTAATTGCATATGCTTGGAAGAAAGCTCACCTCCCCCCTTTTTTGTTTTTGGTTCTGCAAACCCAGGACCTCAATTAACATTTTTAACAGACTGTACTCTCTGAAATAATTTAATAAAATATTGCATAATCGGCCATCAAAACAGAAATTAACAGGCGTAAAACTTCCATTCCATTGCGCAGAACTCTGAACACAAATTCTCCAGTGGCTCGTTATAGGCCCAAAGCTACTATATAAAAACTGAGTGATAAGAGAAGCAATTATACTCAGCTTCAGAAGTCTACATACTTAGCTAAAGATATAGCTTCTGTGAGAGGATATTTTTTAAGCTTTATTTTTCCTGAAGTTATATGTGTGTTTATTCAATATTACAGTTCTGTTCCTTTGGATTTTTACTCTTCCTCTATCCCTGAGGGGTTCACAACAAATTTAGTAGACGTAAAATACCCAAGTGTTCAGAAATCAAAACCACAGCCCAAACATGTCCACCCATGGCACCTCATTCTACCATTTTCCCAGTGCAGTGTGTTCATCTATTGTTGTGCATTCAACTTTAAGTAACTGAGATTAGACACAGGAACTTTGCTGGTAGTTGCTTCTGCTTCTTATCTATCAGCAAAGTGATGATTCGGGCAAGAGTTCTTGGGCAATCCCCACTCATCCAGAAAATTGTGTTTCAAATCTCGAGGGGAAAATCTGGAACATTAGGTAGTGAGGATTAAGTAAGGACTGCAAACCTTCCCATCACTATCCACCCACATCCCCCTCTCTAACTATGGACTTCTTCACCATAAAAATGTTTTAACAATTTGAGATAGTGTAGAAATATTTTGCTTTTAAGTTAAACCCTGACTTTCCTTAAATTAATTACATCAGGCTGACATCCACACATAAAATCAGACCATGTCTGAGAACTACTTTTCACATGCACTTGTGGAGGGGGTGTCTTTATGTTACATGATGCTTCCTACTAGGTGGATAAGCCAATGTGCCAAGAGGTTCATCATACCCATTTTAGGAGCACCTTTCTGCAGACTAAAAGACAAAAATAAGCAAGACTGGGCACATAAGTAAGTTTCTATAAGTGGTCCATGGCTTGCAATGCCCAGATCTAATATTTATTTACTGTAGAATTTTTTGTTTTTTAAAAAATCATATTAGCATGGCGGATTAATGACCAAGGACACAACTCAAGCAGACACATTCCACTGTAGCAATATCCAAGGCTGACCTAACCTCCAAATCTTTTCTACAGGGTCAGTGGAACGGGTAAAGAAAATCAGAGACTATGCATTTGTGCACTTTAATAACAGAGAAGATGCTGTTGAAGCCATGAAAGTGTTAAATGGGAAGGTAATGCTGGATTAATTTAGTATTGGCTAGAAGGGATGTAGAGAGAGCTGCATGTATATGGCAAAATAAGATTTTACAAGGTGTGTGTGTGTGTGTGTGTGTGTGTGTGTGTACACACCAATACACTATAGTGCTAGCAGAGGCTTGCCAGAGTTGTGCATGTTTGACCTGGATGGCTTTGGTTTACGCTAAAGTTATTTACTGGTCTTTCAAATCTGTGATACTTCTTCCATTGTTATGGTTTGGATCTTGACACCATTGCAGTAAGACTAAAATCATGCTTCCTATTTATGGTTCTAGAATTGTTCCAAGTACCAGTGCAAACTGTTCCCCTTTGATTATGCAGTTTCCCCTCCCTCTGGAAAGAACAAAAGTCAACCATCGGATTACAATTCGTATACCACTTGACTGCCACTTGCCCACTGAGCAATTGTGTGGGCATAGCCAAAGCACCGGGAATGCATGGTGCTGGCATGGAGACTGCCCATGAACCCATGTGATTACAGGCTTTCAAACATCATAATCCTCCTATATGGGCCCACTGTTATATGGAGACATCTTCAATAGCCTTCCACATGAGGGCTCTTAGATGGGAAATGGCAGTGCCTGTATGGCTGACCTCATATGAGAGGAAGCTCCATGCAGAAGGAAGCATCCCTTCAGGTACTGTGATCCCAGATCATATCTGAGATGTGAGAGGTTTAGTATCTGCCACAGTATTGGAGAGTGTATTCATGCATTGATATGCCTCATTTTTCTGTCATGTCTTTTTTTTTGTTTAAAGGTGGTGGATGGCTCTCCCATTGAAGTCACATTAGCCAAGCCAGTAGACAAAGACAGCTATGTTAGATACACCAGAGGCACAGGAGGGCGAGGAACAGTGTTGCCAGAATATACTTATACATTTGGGCACGTATATGATCCTACTGCAGCCTACCTGGGAGCCCCAGTATTCTATGCACCTCAAGCCTATGCTGCTATTCCCAACCTTCATTTTCCCGCTGCGAAAGGACATCTCACCAACAGGGGCTTTATCAGGCCACCATCCATCAGAGGTAATGCTTGCTCACTGGAAGTATATAATGTTACCAGTACAGCCAAAGTTCAGAGGAATCTTGTTTACATCCTTTATAGCGTGGCAAGTAGTTAATTACATCATTGCAGTAAAAAAACCCAAAAACCTGGGCACTTTCTCTCAGATGGTAAGGCAACTAAACAATGGCTTCCATAGGCAACTTGAGTGCACAGGTAGGTTGGGATCAGGCATTCCTTCAGGTAAGCACCAGATATTTGAACTGTGCTTAGAAATAGAGCAAAAGTCAACGTTCTGTTGCATACCTTCAGTTTGCCTTTAAAGGAGGAATGTGGCCCTCCAGCCAGCATAATCAATGATCAGGAATGGTGGGAGTTGTAGTCTGTCAGTACCTAGAGGGCCACAAAGCCCTAAATCTTACTACAATGGTTCCCCTTAATACAGTTGTCTGTGCTACCACATATTTTATTATTATCCTGCCCTTCCTCCAGCAATCTGTGGCATGATTGCCTATGCTCACTTGATCCAACTATTTTTACCTACACTTTCCCACAATTCAGCTGCACATTGGGTGGTTACCAGTGTAGACCTGTGTTGTGAAACAAGTTGGTTGTGCACAAAATGTGCAGATCAGTTCTTGATTATGGGGAAGATAGCTGAGGCGATAACAGTTTTGTACCTGTGTAATGTCAAGAGCAGTGTTGCCACTAGGTTAAATCATGCCACATTCTTCCTCTTATAGAGGTATGACCTGTACTGGGATAATTCACCTTAACTCAGGAATGAGGATCCTCCAGACCTCTGGATGTTGCTTTACTCATGCTCCCATCAGCTCCAGCCAACATGGCCAATGGCCAAGGCTGATGGGAGTTGTAGTCCAACAGCATATGGAAAGCCACAAATTCTCCATCCTTGCCCTAACAGTCTCTCCCCCCCCCCCGCTTATTTTGCATTCACATCTAACTTAAGTACCACTTCTCCCATTTATGAGTCTCCACATAAAAATTAGACTTTAAGCAAATGAAAATAAAATTGCACAAAGAATCTTAAACAATGCGGTATATGTCCTCTATAACTCAATGGGGCTTACCTCTGAGTAGGCGCATATAGGACTGCAGTGTGAGGAATGAATTACTAAATTACATACATGTGAGTGTGTACCATCCCTTAATCTCAGTTGGAATCTGTGATAGGATTGGGGTGGCATATAAAAAGAAGTTCCTAGTTTGATGAAAATGGGGTCAAATGTAAACACCGAAACTGATAAATTTAAATTTTTTCCTTTGTATGTTGATCAGTCTAATTTGTAGCTATTGCTCTTCATCCATAAAATGGGGATAGATTTGAAAATGGGTATAAAAAATCAAAATAATCTGTGCATGAGCTCAATGGAAAGGTAAGCTTCATATTAAGCCAAACAGAAGAAAGGAGATGAGGAGAGCAATTTATAATTAATATGTTTTTACCCAAACCACCATGTATTCCGGCAAATCACAAAATGAAGACTGGCCTGAGACCTGGCTTGTATTATTAACAGTATGCCTGGAATTCAGTGCAAAATGATACTGCTGGAAGGATGCACTTGTGGCATATACATTGCAGCAGGCTGCAGTTCCCCAGTTCACATCGTTTTCTTGACTGAGGCCTTTTTTAAAAAAAAAATGAACCCGAGGTGCCTGAAGCTTTGTGAGCTAAAATTACAGATACTGAAAATAACAAACCCTTCCACAAGGTACAGTCCCATCGGTGCTTGTGCATATCCATGCACATTATTGCCCTTCACTTCAAAGGCAATAAAGGGATTCTGTCCTTTGCACATGGCTACTTTTCATTGAACTATGTTCTGTAAACACTGAAACAGCACAATAAAAGTTAGTATCAGAGGCATTCAACTAAGCTCTACTCAGAGGAGTCCCACTGGAATTAATTACCGTATTTTTCTCTCTATTACACGCAGATTTTTTCTCCTAAAAAGGAAGGGGAAATGTCTGTGCATGTTATGGAGCGAATGTGGGGGGGGGGGACCCTGGAGCCGATTAGGGGAGCGCAGGAACAAAAATCAGCAAAAATCAAAGCACGTTGTGTCGGAGAAGGGAAACCTGAAAAGAGGAAGTGGTTGCTTTCCTGCATTCTGCCTCAGGGTCTTACTGCCCACCCTCCTCTGTTTCGTTGCTGTGTTTGCTCAAACGGAACAAAGAGCAGGCAAATCCCCTCCCCTCCAGGCAAGCAGAGGGGAAAGCAGAGGTCTTTCCTTCTAATTCCTCTCCGTGCTCCTCGCAGGCAGCCAGAAAACATGCAGGAGGAGAGAGAAAGCTGGCTTCGGTTTGTGGAAACTTTTGCCTTTTTTCCCTACCTCCCGTTAAATCCCTCTCCTGCTTTCTTAGCCAGCTGCTTCTCTGCACACCGCTCTCTTGTCCCTTCTGTGTTTTTCCTTCACTCCCCACTTAAAATGTAGTTACAAAGCATGGATCCACATGGATCCTCAGGATCTTTGCATTGGGCCACCCCAAATTCACCATCAGATCACATAGCAGCCTGCCCCCCAAAAATCACACACCCACTGTTGCCTGGGGCTGCAATGGTGCAAAAACGTGGTTAAAAAGCATGGATCCACATGGATCCTCAGGATCTTTGCATTGGGCCACCCCAAATTCACCATCAGATCACATAGCAGCCTGCCCCCCAAAAAATCACACACCCACTGTTGCCTGGGGCTGCAATGGTGCAAAAATGTGGTTAAAAAGCATGGATCCACATGGATCCTCAGGATCTTTGCATTGAGCTACCCCAAATTCACCATCAGATCACATGTCTGTGGCCACAGCATGAAGCACAAAAATGATACATCCACTGTTTCATTCAGAATTTTTTTCCTTGTTTTCCTCCTCTAAAAACGATGTGCGTGTTATGGTCAGGTGCGTGTTATAGAGCGAAAAATACGGTACCTAAGTCAGTCATGTTTCTTAACTTCAATGGGTCTCATCTGATTTGGACTAGCATTGAATGCAACCCATAAAAGCTTTAAGCTTTACTCCACACTGGTGGGGCTAAATATAATGAAGTGATTGAAAAATTGTCTACCCAGCACTGTCAAAATCTGCTGCCTGAGCTCAGCCACATCTCCTTGTCTAACTGTAGGGCTGGCCTTGCCCAACAGTTGAGCTGGTCATGGTGCCCAATATAATTTTATATCGCCATCACCAGTCTCTGTTATCATGTGTCAGTGTGTGGGATCAAAGCCTTCCAATGAATTAAGAATCGGAGATTTTCCGGTAATTTGATTCAGTTTAATACCTTCTTACATTCCTAGAAATTTACATGAATGTACCTGTAGGGGCTGCCGGAGTTAGAGGACTAGGAGGACGTGGCTACTTGGCTAACCCTGCCCTGGGTCGTGCATACCAGCTCAAGGGAGAGAAAAAAGGGGAGGACAAGCTCTACGACCTTTTGCCAGGAATGGAGCTTACGCCAATGAATCATGGCAGTTTAAAACCGCAAGGAATCAAACTTGCTCCACAGGTGGGTAAGACATATTTAGAATAAATTTAGAATAAATGATGCTCCAGCTTTTGGCCAATGCATGTGTCTCTGTTAGCTCTAGATACGTAAAGCAGATGTAAAGAAAAATAATTCCTGGGGTTCATCTTTGTCTTCCCAGTGGCTATGGGGTTTTTCCAGCTACAATTTCTGCTTCTGCCTCCCTCTCTCTCTCTCTCTCTCTCTCTATCTATCTATCTCTATCTATCTATCTATCTATCTATCTATCTATCTATCTATCTATCTATCTCTCTCCCCCAATTTTATCAAGCCAAATTTGAATCTGAAATAGCTGTCTTAAGGCTGATAGATCCAATTGTTTTTTTAAGTGGAAAATGTCCATTAAAAAAAAACTTTCCTCATCTATTTCTGGACAAACTGTGGGGATGTTGCCGGCTACTAGGACTGTAACTAGCACCTGCTTTGCATGCAGAAGTTCCCAGTTTCAATTCCTGGCATCTCCAGGCAGGACCTTCTGCCAATCACTATAGACAATGCTGAGATGGACCAATGGCCTGCTTCAGTATAAGGCAGGTTCCTGTGTCCTGGAAGCTAGAGATAATCCAGCAGAGCAGGAGATGGCCAGTTCATCCCTTACAGAAGGCTTACTACACAGCAAGATCAGGTTAGGGTAATATATGTAAATGTTATTTGTGGGACTGATCCAGAAGGAAAGTGTCTTCCAGCCAAACAATCTGCAAATTACAAATCAGGATAGCTCTGATGAGGTCAGATTAAACATTGTTTGCGCCATTGCACTGTGGCCTTTCTGATTAGGTCTTGTAGACTGATTTGGGTCTGTAGACTGGATAGGACCTAGAAACTACTCAGAGAAAGATGCAACGTGTTTAATTTAGTTGTAGTCAGCATCAGTGTGTCTCAAATTACAAACTGTGTTTATTCAGTTTATTTTAAATTGCTTGGATTGAATAAATTGTTTTGCTTGCAAAACAGTGCTTTTATCCTTTTACTTGCACTCCTTCAAAAAAGTTGATCCTAAGGGTTGGGGGGGGGTCATTAGAGAATAGCATGGGGTCTGCAGATGGAGGAAGGCAGCAGTGGATATCCCCCTCACATGAGCTGAAGTCACTTCCCATGCCCTTTAGATCCAACCCGTAATTTATATCCTGCCTTTCCACCTCAAGGTCTAGACTTCAAGGCATCTTGCAATCCATCATTTTAAAGGAATCAATATGACCAGCCTAAAAAGTAATAAAAGTTATCAGCCTAAACAAAAGACAAAACAATTAACAAAGTCAATTAGCAGCAGACATAAAGATGACATAAGATCATAATGTCATGAACTAAAAATCTGGAGAAAAAATAGTTTTCACTTGGGTGCCTAAAGAATAAAAGTGGGCTCCAAGCAAATATTTCCGGGAAGGATGTTCTATAGTGAAGTTTCCATCCCAGAAAATGTCCTGTCTCCCATTGCTATGCATCTAAATACAATAGTATGTTCTCAAGAAACAGTGACTCTGTATCAAGGGAGGGCACAAATAACCGGGCAAATAGAATGTATTCAAAAAATTTAAATGATGTGATATAGTTTCCAGACTGCAGTAATGTATTCTGTTATTCAATGGCTGCATTTTTCATTCTAGATATTAGAAGAGATCTGCCAGAAGAATAACTGGGGACAGCCAGTCTACCAACTTCATTCTGCCATTGGGCAAGACCAAAGACAGCTGTTCTTGTACAAAATCACCATTCCTGCCCTTGCCAGTCAAAATCCAACTATGTATGTAACTACTGCACTTTCTGGGGGGGGGGGCTGTAAATTTTTATAAAATAAAGGCATTTGATATCACCACTAATCCCTCAGTCATACAATGCATTGTTTATAATATATGCAACTTGGGAGGAAGGGGAAACATTAACAATATAGATAATTTAAAATATATTTTAAAAATACTTAGAGCTAGTTTCAACCAATCAGTCCTACTATCAGAAGCCAGTGTTAGGGCTTCCTCCAGCACAACAAGGCTTTTTGCCCCTTCTCCTCCCCTTGCACATCCCACCCACTCCTAAATTAGCTCAGGGGGCTCTGTGGAAACCCCAAAACAGCATGTGGGAGCTGAAGAAGGGAGATTGTTCCATGTGTCAAGCTGAAATGCTTGTGCTAACAGAACAATCTCTTTAGCGCTCTGTTGAATTCCACCCACATAAATTGCGGTTTGCCATCAGGTGCAAATTGTACATACCCTGAACCATTATCCTCTCAATTTTTTAAACAAGCAGATTTTCAGAGTTTGGGGCATTGTTTAATTAGTGGTTTCGGTGATTCAGTCAAACAACAACACTTTAACATCTTGCATCAAAGGATACGATGGATGTTTGCCAAGATGCGAACTATAGGAAAATGAAATTAATGTTTACCACTGATTTGCAGGCATCCCTTCACGCCATCCAAGCTAAGTGCCTATGTAGATGAAGCCAAAACATATGCAGCAGAATATACTCTTCAGACCTTGGGCATTTCCATTGAAGCAACAGAGGCCCCTGCGGCTACAGCAACTTTCCCAGGTATGTTAAGGTTCTGCAAACATTTTCTTCTCTGGGCTATTTAATTGTACCTCATAGGTAGCTCAGCCACAGTTGGTGGTAGAGAATCTGCAGAAGGTCCAAGATTCAATTTCTGGCATCTCCAGGTAGGGTTGGGAAAGATTCCCTGTCTGCCTGAAACCCAGGAGACAATGACCAAGGGGACGTGGGTTAAAATCACAACACAGCTGTGAGGGTCTCATTGGATGACCTTGGCCCAGCCACACACAGACTCAGCCTAATGTACCTCACAGCAATTGCCAAGAAGATCACAAGTATGCCACCTTCAGCTCCTTAGAGAAATGCTGGGGTATAAATGTAACAAACAAACAAAAACTCAACAGAGTGATGTTCCCGTCTATTAGCCACATCTTTTTAAAAAGGCAACTCTAAGCAGTGTACCTATACTAATATTAAATAATTATCAATAATGCACAGTAAAAACTTGTGCCGCACCACATGTTAGGCTCCTCACATGGTTTGAAAATTGATCTCTCAAATATGAGCATGCAAATTCATGAGCATCTTTTCACGTGTGTGTGTGTGTGTGCGCGCGCGCGCGCGCGTGCGTGCGTGCGTGCGTGTTGTGCAACTTCTCTATCTCTGGCTCTGTTTACCGTCTCCCTCTCTGGCTCTCACCCTTGCCAGGGTCCTGGTCATTTCACTCTCCTCTCCTTCCCAGTCCTCACCTGTCTCTTTGGATCCCTGATGCATTGGTGTGAAATGAAGTTGGTGGGTGGCCAACTGTTTACTTTCATAGAGGCATAGAATTCTAGAGTTGGAAGAGATCCCTGGGGGCCACCCCTGCAATGCACACTTTACTTTGTAATGCACACCTTACTACACACCCAGCAACCAGGGAAATAAACACAGTGGGACCTTGGTTCTCAGACAGCTTAGTTGTCGAACAAATTGGAACCTGAACGCTGCAAACCTGGTTTGTGTTCTGGTTTGTGAATGTTTTTCGAAAGCTGAACATCTGACGCAGCTTCCTCTTGAGTGCAGGAAACCCTTGCAGCCAATCAGAAGCCACGCCTTGGTTTTTGAACGGTTTCGGGAGTCGAACAGACTTCCAGAGCAGATTAAGTTTGAGAACCAAGGTACCACTGTATTTTAAAAGAAGTCTCAGCAGGGGTCTCACAGGCACCAAGGAGGTCTCCTGTACTCATTGCAGCACTCATGGGTGCCAAATGGGAGAAAGGAAGACTATTTCATAGCGCTCTGATCCTATTATGAATTAGCTAGTTAGAACGATATGACTATTTTAATTAACATCTTTTTAGAATATCTTTCGTATACAGAAAGCTTGGTTAGGTAAATTAGTGCATATAAGGAGCTGTGACATAAATTGAAATAACATTATAAGTAAAGCTTTCTGCACTGTATTTATAATTCTTTCTTTCACATTACTGGAAATATGTGCCCATTAATATTAATATGTGTTGATTAATATGGAATCTTTCTGGAACATCAAGGCTTTTTTAAAAAAAGAAAAAAAGTTTAAAATCTATCCAGCTTCCTGCCACAGAGAAAAATCAATTTGTCTAGGCTTGTTCAAGCTTCCGCATTATGTAAGATACACTGATGCTTTATTGAACCCAGTGTCATTTACGGCTTAATTACAATGACCTCTCTCTTTCCTTTACTTTCTGTTACATATGACTTGGAAGACTGAGAGGTGCCTTTTCTCCATTCCAGTTCAGGTGTCTTTGGTAGTCTGGGAACAATCTCTCAGGTTAGCCAAAGCTAACGGAAAATGCATCATTCTAAAGAATATTTTCTTCTACTTCTTGGTGGAAGAATGGAGTTGTCTAGATATTCATTGTCGAAACAGGGCTAAGTGTCATTTATAGAGGCTACATAAGGGAAGGATGTTATTCTTTACTGTAGTGTTGGATGAATGTTTGGCCTCCTTACAGTCTATTTACCATTTTTATGTGTGTAAAAAAAAGTGTACAAATAGAAAGCAAGATAAAACAAATCAAGCCTGTAATTCTACTGTTTTGAGTAGAGTAAAGGGTTATGCTGTAAGTGTCAATAATTAAGGCAGGCGCGATCAGTAAAAGCAATATATGGCAACAGTAAAACAAAACTAAATAGCACCAATAGCTCTGGGATGGCTCAGTTGGTAGAGTATGAGACTCTTGATCTCAGATTTGTGGGTAACAGCGCCATGTTGGGCAAAAGATTCCTGCATTGCAGGGGGTTAGACTAGATGACCCTGGTAGCTTTGTTTTGGCTTGTGTGATTTTTGTGTGTGTAATTTAGGGGGTTTGTGTAATTTAGGGTTGCCATAAGCCTGGAATTTCCCGGACATAGCCAGGATTTGGCCATTGGAAACAGCGTCTGGGCAGAAATCGCCTATTCTTTTCTACTGTCCATTGTACAACAAGCTATGCAAACCCATGCTACCCCCTCCCCCTTTTTGGGGGGTAGTCTAACATCACAGCACTATGAAAATATCAGATTCTATCTGTCTGACATTAACCCAGAAGTAACTGCAAGGGTGGCTGAGGTTTTTGCCAATAGTATCTCTTAGAATGGTGAATGGCACTATTTAGCGGGAAGAAATCCCAATGAAAATCCTCATTATTATATATTTTACATGGCTGTTTAAAGCTCAGCAACTTTGCCCAAAAAAAGGCTCAACTACCTTTGTGTCCGGATTTTTACCTGTTTGAAATACGGCAACCTATTATATTCATTTTGCAGCCAAATCTGCACATTCAGTTAAATCAAAGTCCTTGAACAAGAATGTTTAAGTTGTTCCAAAATAAAGAAGTGAATAAAGGATTATAGTCAGTCTCTGCAACTATAGCAAAATAGCCTTGTGTTTTTTGTTTTGTTTTTAATGTCCCTGCAGGATACATTGCTAATGCAACTGCCGCAGTGACAGCTACTCAGCTCAAGCAAGCAGTGACTCTGGGACAAGATTTGGCAACCTACGCAACCTACGAAGCTTATCCAGCATTTGCAGTAGCTACTCGGAGTGATGGATATGGAGCATTCTAAAAAAAAACAACCCAAATGTCCTGTGTAATTTAAAGCAATATCTTACATTTAATCAAGCTATGGCAGGGGGCAGGAGCTACTTCAAGCTAATGATTAGTCAGGTTCAATATGATTCTGAATTAGTGATAGGGCAAATTCTGATGTAGCAAGGCTTCACTGCTTTTAGAATAGCAGTTTAATAATGGTAGACACTGATTTTTATTTTTAAATCCACTTTTTTTTTTACAAGCAGGGGGGTAAGCCTAACCTAAGAAGGAAAAGAAAACTTAAAGAGTGTGTTGTTTCATTTGTGTTTACAAACGATGGTCCTTAATTGCAATTTTCAATAGTATTTTTGTAATAATGTAAAGCAATGGTTTTCAACCAGTATGCTGTGGCACCCTTGGGTGCCTTGAATGATGGTCAGTGGGCCATGGGCAACACTGGCCTCTGTCCCTCTTTCCTTCCCTCCCTTCCTCTAATGCCCTCTCACATCTCTACCTCCCAAAGGCTTGCACAACTGTTTGTTGCAGCAGCCCTGGCTACAAGCTTCCCAGGCGAATGGTGTCTCTGGGGCTGGCCAGGGGGTGCTTCCCAGGCCCCTGTGGGGCAGTGTGAGGAGGCACCTCTCCTTGGGGCAGCAGCAGCAGCTGCCTGGAGGACTCCCAAGGAGAGGGGAGAGGAGGCTAAGGGAACACTCCACAAGGGAGTGTGTTCAAACAAGGGTGAGAGGCTGCCAGCTCTGCAGGCAAGGGGTGACATAACTGGGCTCCTGAGCCCCACAGGGGTGCTACAGAAAGAATGTAGTTGGTCAAGGAAGCCTTGGACTCAAAAAGGTTGAAAACCTCTGACGTAGAAAAGTCATGGGGCTTTTATATTTCTCAGATATTCTTGTTGTAAAGCGTTTTATGTAGGTATGAATCCTGCATATGATGGTGTGTTAGCTATAATCTTAGTGTCAAACTAGTTGCTCCATTAGATGCTTGACTGCATTTAAAGGTGTTTTTAAATGCAAATAGCAGACACTGCAGGGGAGGGGACCCTGAATATTGCTGAGGTCACTGCAGACAGGGTGGGGAAATTTAACCCTTTCCTCTCCTACGGCTGCCCTACTCATCCAAGGCTCTCATTGGTACCACTGGCTTCTGTCCTGCATGCTGGAAAGTATATTGGAGCTTAGAAGTATGGGAGCAATGTCTCAAAGATAAATAAATTGTTCCCAATGTTCACTTTCAATCTTTTAAAAACATTATATGGCTGAATAATTATTTTGGAATTTTTAGCTTCAAATATTAAAGAACGGTCCTATTCAGCTTTACTCAGAAGCAAGAGTCACTTTGTTCAATGGGTACTTACTTCCAAGTAAACATGCATAGGATTGCAGCATAGCTATCTCAAGTGATTTTTAATTGAATTGTGCAATCCAATCCCCACATTTGTAAACCAAAGGAACACCCTAGATAAACTAGAATATACATCCGAAAGAAAGAGGGGAAGGATCATTTTGTATCTTCTATGAACATCATTTAGAAATGATGCTTTCCTGACTTAAGATGTTATTTTAGCATCTTCACAAATGTGATTATAAATTGGCTGATTTGCACATGGGTTTGGGGGGGATAATTACTGCTGCTGCCCTCCACCAAAAAAAATCACCTCTGCTTGTTCAGCAATAGATGCAGAAGGGCAGCATTAATTTGCTTCCGTGGAGCAAGGTAAGAAAGCAAAAACTTGCCGCCTGCCAGAAACATGGGGTGACTTCCAAGGCCAGCCTCAATTTGCAAGTGTCTGACATTTAGACTACTGCCAGAACCTTATTGCTAGAAAACCACATTCTGTGTCAGGAAGATAGGAAGCTGTGCATTGCATGCACGATGACTTACTGCATCAGGAGACCCCAACAAGGCTTCCTCCTGATGCGACAGTTGCCTGCCAGGCTGTGCTAGTCTGTGTGGCCTCTCCCAATGGTGCATGGCCTGGTGCAACATCCTGCCAGGCTGTGCAGCATCTCTTAATGTGTCACGACCATGGGCGACTTCACACCAGGCTGTGCTGCATCGGGAGAAGTTGCACAGCCCAGGGCAACTTACCTCCAGGCCTCCTTGGCTCCCTCAAGATTGGGAGGGGCTGAACCCCATCCCAGCAGAACTTGGGGGTTGTGGAGGCCTCGTGGAGGGGATGCCCCTGTCTGAAGTCCAGCCCATCCCTGGACTTCAGACAGGGATTGAACTTAGGACCTTATGACATTCTACTCATCTATGATCCCACTTCTAAGGTCCAGTATTCTGAACACGTGCAGACCAATCCACCTTCCGCCACCTCGGATGATCCATATGTATGCATTGGAATCACCCTAAATTGGAACTTTCTTTCCATGCTAGCACCAAATTTGTAGGTGGTGGGTGAGGGGTCTTCAAACAGCCTCCATGTGTGAGTTCAACCTAAATCATTTTTGTTAATTATACACTTGTGAAACTTGCCTAGTGTCACTGTATTCACACCTCTAATGTTAGCAACAAAATACTTCTATCTGGTTGAAATCATTTCTTACTTTTATTTAACTGTATACTCTCCCCCCCCCCCAGCTATTATTTATACACAGTAAGATAAAGCAGGTGCCTGAGACACAGAAACAGTATTAAAATGTGTGCATAAAAGCACTTATATTTTTCATACTTTTAGTACTCTTTGTATAGAACTGCGGCAGCACTCTGAAATCACGGAGGTAGCTTTATTTGGAACAACTGTTCGTTTCAAAAATGGAAATTCAGCAAATTGAATAGTGAACCATCAATTAAGAAAAATGTCAGGTGTGAAATTCTGTGAAGCTGTGTTGTAAATCAAATCGTTATCAAATGGACGTTAAGAAATGATTAAACTTCCTTAAATAATGTTGACGTGTCTGCTTCTTTTATAGCATTCAGCCTCACAGATATCTTTAAAAGATGGTACTCCAACAACAAAGTTGTCAAGCTTTTTCCCCCTTGGGGGGGGGGCAAAATCCCAATTGCAACAAATAGTTTTTGAGCTATTTCTTAGGAAATTCACCAATAGCTACATTTCCAACATGAGTTGCCATACATACGTCTGGACATCTCAGCGATTTCTACTCGGACACTGTTTCCGACTGCCAAATTCTGGATATGTCCAGAAAATTCCAGACGTATGGCAACCCTAGCATATTAACTGGTTTCTTCTTTCTGACCACTTGAAACCACTCCATCCAACATTTAATGGGTGAAAGTAGGAACACTCTTATGTCGGCATCATAACATACTCATTCTCACACCAAGGATCATGACCCTCTCTGCTACTATATTCTGCTAACTAAAGGTTCTTTGTTGGTTATATTCTGCAATAATTTACTCCGTAACAATATATTCTGCATTGGTTTCTGAATTGGATGTGCTAGTAAACAGACTAAAAGAGTTTCCTTTGTTTGTTTGTTTTAATAAACAGCTCTTTACCCTCCTTGCATGTTTTACCCTGACTGAAATGTGTCCCTGAACTGTGCTCATCCCCTTAGTTTCTCTGGAATGGGATGGAAAAGAGTGTGTATTACCTCACCCATTTTTGCCCCTTAGCCCACCCAGCAGCAATATTTCCTAGGTATATTGCCCAGGGCTACTAGAATGTCTGGCTCTTTAAAAAAAAGCAATTGCTGGTGCAGTTTTAAAAACAGAAACATGAAACATGACATTTGAAGCCCAACGTTTATTGCAAGATGCATCTATAAATGCCCATTTGAGTCTAGGCCAGCAATTGCCCGGTTCCTTTCCTATAGATACCATATACTGTGTTGATAGATGCTGGCACTTTTCCACTAGGTGTGCCACAAACAGGCAAATGAAACAATGCAATTAAATTGCATCAAAGGGCAAAGGTGAGTGAAATCGGGATTCAACATCTCCACTAACTGTGCATTAGGTACACATTCTGATGTTCTGAAAGAACGTGGATTGTGCCATCTAGTGGAGGTTGGGCTCCTTTTTTTCCTTGGCAGTTGTGCCAGTTATGTTGTAGAAATGATGTGAAGAAGCTTGTCACTACCGCTTGTCAAAGTTAGGCCCCAGATCCATAGGAGCAAAGGACTTATACTGCGTGGGGAGGGGAGGAGCTGTTTCTCCTAAAAAGAGGCCCAATGTATATAGCTTGAGCATTTGAAAAGACTTGCACATTTCTGTTGTTTTATGTTAAGTTCTAAACTCCAGAAACTACAATCTGTGCGCAGTAAAAACATCTTACATGGTGATGTGTGTTACTTCATTTACTTCAAAATGTGGCTGGGGTTCGGAATCCCCTGCTCATTCTGCTGGAATTTTGTCTCAAAGTCCTGCCCTGATACCATCACTGGTAGTGGCTGCAAAGTTAAGGGCCATGGCGAGGGAGGCGGGGGGTGGAACTGTAGCCAACCTAAAAAGGATCCTGCATACTGTAGAGGGACTGGCAGACTGTCAGTGCTAGATCAGGAAGAGCAGAGTTCAAATTCCAGCTCAGATATCAAGCTTAGAATGTGGCATTGGGAAAGTCACTGTCTAAGCCTAGCCTATTTTAGCACGCTGTCGTGAGTGTAAATTGGAGTAACCTAATATGCCAATAGTGGGCCTTCACTATGCCAGATTTTGTTGGACTACAATTCCCATCATCCCTGACCATTGGCTATGCCAACTGGGACTCATGGGAGATGGGAGAATACAACTCCCATCATCCCTGACTATTGGCTATGCCAACTGGGACTCATGGGAGATGGAGTCCACCAATGTCTGGAGGGTTGCAACACCTTGAGCTTCTTGGGGTAAGGGTAGGATGCAATGTGATGCCAGACAGACAGAGGCCTGCAAATGGCAGCAAGCCCCTTCCTCAGTGCAAGATGCAGAGGCCTCCAAAACAAAGAACTTTTTTCTGATAAGGAAAGAGGCAAGAAAATTCACCAGGAAGTGTGGGACAACACTTGCTTTGTTACAGAAACATCTAACCTCCCAGCAAACAAATCAGGATTAATACTCACTAAATAGTCAGCGCCATCTA